AGAAATGTATAGAATGCAAATCTACCGAATACATCAAAAACAATAGACATGTCAACACCCTTAATTGCACTGAAAATCTGGAATTTGCTATTGCTTTTTACTTTGACAGAGGTTATGGGATAATCTATCCCATTTCCTCCCTTGGAAATATGCACTTATTTGTCTATAAGGTTAGAAAGTTTTTACACAGATAGAATGTTTACTCCACCAGTTCATGAAACGGCCATTTCATTTGTAGCATAGGGAAGCTATACCAAGAGTAGGATCATTTTCTCTGCTTTCTTGTACTGTGGAAATTCCATATATATCTATATATAGATATATATAGTTATATAGACATATAGTGGCACAAGAGGGCAAAGTGCAACTAATCAATATTAGCTACTATTTCGACATACCTCTGGCTACTCTTCTGAGATCTCCTCTGGCCTAGTCTCATGTCAAAAGCACCTTACTGAGGCGTAAATAAGGAGAAATGCATAAAGAGGATCTTGCTTCTGCCAAAAAGCTCTCAAGCTCAAGGGTGTTTTCATTGAACCACAGTTACTTAGTTTATCTTACATTAGAGGGAACTCCTTTAATTTACCAATCTGTAATAGGCAACTCTTCTCCATACAGAGCAAAAGGTCACTATTTTATGTAAGGAAAATTAAGCCGATGTTCTTGGTTGCCTTACAGTTCTCGTAGTTCAACTACTCCAATAAATGAACATGTACAACAAGCCGAAGGGCTTTTTATTACAAATTTAATTCATTTCTCTAGACAACTGTGAAATTTGCCATTGACATTAGTCATTACCCCAAGGCGAACTAAAAGATGATCTCAGTTAATAAATGATCCTTAACAAGGAACACTCCCTATCTTCTCTGATATTGGCACAGGGACATTTTATTAATGCAGGGCTTGCTTCCTGCCAGAACACTAGAATTCACGACTATTTGGTATACTTGTTTCCTCTTCCTGCTCCTGATATTAATAATTATGCAACGGGATAATTAACAACACAAAGAGACAGTACTCTGAGCTTGCAGCTAGATTTTCAGCGTGTTAACCTTCTGGGAAATAAAGAACAGAAGCAAAGAGTCTAGCCAAATAAACCAATGCAGGTTGATTTCACAGTGTGTAAAAGGCTAATTATCTGTGAAAAGTCTGACCTCAAGTATCAAAAAAACCTCAGAGTCTTTTAGAGGATGAAGTAGTTAGCTTGCAGAACAAGTTTCATATACATATGAGTGTGCATGTAGTCACACACAGATATTCAGACCAGCTTTATTGCAATCACTTATTGGACATATTAAGTGTTATCCACAAATGTATATCTATCCAGACATAACAGCACCACATAATCAATGTAAACCAGCTATTGACAACACCTGTGAAACTATAGTAAAATAAACTTTTTTTCCCATTCACTGTAACTATGATATAAACAAAATAAACCCAGAGTATGACAGAAGTGGGTTAAGTGCATATTGTTTACTGAAGACAGGGTGCAATAAAATACAGGAAATATTATCACTTCTTTACAGATTCAATGTGTAATTCATTCTGATATAAGAATATTTATCCACTAGCAATAATAACAAAATCACTTTTTTGTTGCAGGAAAAAATAAATTGTATTTGCAAAAAGCAAACACATTACGGAGTGTGTAAAAATGCAATATTCCCATTTTCTAGTCAGAGTTCCAATTTATTGAAGTAACAGAGCAGAAAATGCACTGACAGCTGTTACATTTTATTGCGAATTAGTATATACGTTTTATATCCAGTGAGCAAATGCATGATACATTGTATTCCAGTAATTGCCACTGGCTTTCCAAATGGAAACTGAATGATCTTAGTGCAATTACACTCAGGAGAGTAAATGTAACAAGCCACAGTTCTCCATTATAGCTCTTTAACAATGCAACGAATATTCTTCTCCTTTCCCCACAAATAAACAAATGAAAGGTCAAACCACAGATCAATTATATATGAGAAAAATTAATAGGGTTGCATTACGGTAGGACGTGTATATCACAGGTCAGAAGATTAGTACTGTTTCCAAGAAAAAATCACTGAAGTTTTCACCAGGCTCAAGTTATTACTTTTACTAAAGCTTCAAAACTCCCCCACCCTTTGGTGGGGGGGAGAGATGTCAGGATATAACTGAACGGTTGGAGAAGAGTTTTCATTTCACATCAAAATGCAAACATTGCAGCCTGTTAAGCAAATACTCCTCAATTTAATGCTTTATATGTGCAGAGAAACAAACATACATCCAAACACTCACATGCACACACACATTTCTTGCCGAACGCTTATAAAAAAAAATGTCTGTAGGCTGTAGCTTACTGCAGGCACTGAGTTAGGACTTATTTAAAGAGTCTATGTTAAGAGAAATAAATAGCCAAATGCACTACGGAAAAGCACTTTTTTGTGAGTGTACTAACCTTCATACCATATTTTAAACCTTTTCCTTGGGCAACCAGTGCTGTGACAGTTTCTTCCCCTTCACGCTCTACCGTGAGGAGCTCAGCAAAGCCAGCTGTCTCCTCCCCTCTAGTGGTTATCAGCTCTATTTGCAGCAACACGGAAAGTGGAGGGGCTACGGCAGACCACCTCAGGGGCATTTCTGTAATTTCTAAGCTAGAGAGAGAATGAGAGAGAGAGAGAGAGAGAGAGAGAGAGAGAGAGAGAGAGAGAGAGAAGGCCTGGCAGCCTATCGCAGCAGCAAATAAAAATTATCAGTCATTTAAAACAATATGTTAGTGAGGACTACAACTTAATCAACACCAACCTGCTGACATAGATTTGCAATTTGAGCAGGTTATTAGTGATCGAATTAGCAACATGTCACAACTTGTATCTGATTTATTAGAAGAACTGACTAATGCAAGAGGACTATAAACAACACGCTAGACATTTTTCAAAGCTCACTGACTGTAATAATATGCGCTCCTGAAAAAAGTGTAGGTAAAGGCCAGGCATGACTGTGAATGCATCAGTCACATGTGCATTGTATGGATATTTCCTGCTATTATTTGTTGCTTTTTTAATAATAGGAAAAAGCCCTCTTCATTAGAATGATATGGTCAAAAGTCTATACAATGAGAGGAGAGAGATGCAATACAGAGGAGAGGATGCTCTGTTAGAAAAAAAAATCCAAATTGTCTCAGGCTCACACCTATATCAAGCTAGGAGGCACCTTGATAACTATTTTGGTATTTTAACTATGACAAGTGGTAGGAGAGACTCTTCAATGGGAGGTGATGCCTCTTCTGACACAAATGCTTCCAATAGTGAAATGACTGAGCAATTCTAACAACATAACTAGATATTTTAATATCCTGAGTCTTCATATAGGCTTTTGTCTTTAGATCTTTACCACTGGACTTAGAAAAGTTAGTTAACCAGAAGCATTGAGCAGTCACTAGTCCGAAAATCACAGAGGGTGGTTATCTGCTCTCAGGGATCAGCTTGCAGATGGCCTTTGAGTGAAGGGGTTACTGGGCCAAGTCCTTTTTAAAGAATAAGGGGAAATGGGGCCTTGACGTTGCAGGCTGAGCAGGCAATGTCTTACAGGCAAGATGTATTGTATTTCTGTTTGATGCACCAAGAATATGTCGACATTCATAGCTATACAGTGAATTAGCATAATCAATTTTATGCAAATTGACATTTTCTTTAGCTGATTTTTAATGATTCTATTCATCTTTTTGGGAGGAAGCATGAGCCTAAAAGGTGTTTTTTAATTCTTCAGATTGGACCCTACTGATTTTTCACAACAAAAGAGCATTTGTTTTAGAGATTTTTGGGTTACCTCTAAGAGAGCATGCATGCTTGTGAATACACACATGACTGCCAGTAACAGATTTTTTCGAGTGGCTTACAGAGTTTTAAGAAGCAGAAATGAAATTAAATTGCAATATCAAATCAACAAAATGCAGTAGATATCAAATTAGTATTATACCTGTCAAAATATATACAAGACAATTACTTTTGAGCAGGGAAAATATACTATTCTAGGACTAGCGGAGAATATTTTAGAGTACACAGAATCCTGTTTGGATACTCAGAACAAATTTGCCCACAGCTTCATGAACAGTCCCATAACTAAAAGCCCTCCAAGTAAATCTAGAAGTTGGACAGGTTGTCTATTCCAAAAAGGATAAAAATAGCACATGGACAAGGGATGGCATTTTGGTTTACGCACAGTTTTCTCCTTCTATTCTGCCTCTTGACCAGTGGGACAGATCACCATCCGGTTTGCTCAACTTTTGAAATATTCAACTGAACTTTGATGTAGTTGTCACAGAAGCCTTAAACAGTTCCCTCACCTGTTATAAGGGTTTCATGCCTGGATGAAGGTTCAAATTTGAGATTCTGAAATAGGCATAATATAGCTAATTCAGCTAGATTTCTGAAAAGACATAGAAATAGCACTTTGGATTGCATATATTTGAAGGTTGCATGTGCCCCTGCTTTTGATAAGATGTTTATTCATTGCATTCTTGTACTGTTCAATAGCCAAAAAATCTTTGGGTACTTCACTACAATTTAGAAAGGTAAAATACAGCATACAATGCTGTAAAGAATTTAAATAGTTAAAGCTATTGTTGTTGTTGTTGTTGTTGTTATTATTATTTAATATTCAGTTAACAATAATATAAAAATGAAGCCAAAACAGTCAAGCATTCCAACTGTGGTGTAAAATACAAATAAAAGCCAGAATAAGACCTAGCAGTAATGCAAAGATTTAAAATTCAAAACAGAGCTTAGGGACTAACATTCCTAGAAAGATGTGTGGAAAATGAGGTGTCTACCTGGTGAACACTTTAAAGTACAGGAGCCTGTGAGCCTCCTGTGATGTTGAGGCTACAAGAGGAAGGACCCTCTATTTAATAGTCACCCACCTGACTAGCCTTGTTTGAGCTCCAGGAAAAGGACCACTGACAAATATTTTAGGGTCCAGGCAGAATGATCATCCAGGTAACCTAGAAGAAAACTGTTAGGGTTTTGAATGTTAATGTCAACACTTTGAAACAGTGGACAAACCACTGTGCAGATGGTAAACTACTGGAATAATATGATCACACTCGCCAGCTCCTTTTGGCAATCTCGCTGCCCTGTTTTGGACAAGCTGAAGTTTCTTACCGTTTTCAAAGGCAGCTCCATGTATAACGCACTGTAGGAATCCAACCCGGAATGTGAATGCCTGTAGCTAAGCTATCCCTTCCTAGAAAAGGGCATTGTTTATAAGCTGAAAAAGCTGCTCCATGACCGTGAATCTACCCTGCCTCTAGTAACAGTGCTGGATCCAGCCGAAGCCCAAAATATGGACCTGGTCCTGAGGGAGGGGGTGCAGTCCCTTCCAGAACAAATTGAAAGTCACTTACCTGGACAGGTAACCACCCATTGGCAGTACCCCCTCCTTGTACACACAGGCTCACTTTTTTGGCCCTTGTCCATCACATTACTCTGCCCAAGCACTGCATCATCCAGATTTGATGAAAAGGGGAGAGAGAGCTGGATGCAGTCTGCATAGAGATGATGCTTCAACTCACATGTCCAGGTAAGCTCACCCAGCAGTTCCATGCAGCTTTTCACTTTTAAAATAGCACCATGGAACCCCATTGCATAGCTGGCCAGGCACAGAGCAACAACCCCTGTTGTTGCACCGCCTTCTGAAATCAGCTGTCCAAGTAGGAATGGAATCACTGCACTGTACCTCCAACTCCAATCCAGTTAGCCTTTTTAGGAGAATACCAAATGGTTGATGGTTGAAAGGCCCGAGAAAATCAAAAGGGTCATACACTTCCTGTTACTCCTTGACAAAAGCCATCCAACTTTGGAAATTGTGTGTCAAGGACTCTTTCAGAAGCTACAAACAAGGTGGGAAATGTGATCCTGTCTTGACAAGACTTAATCCCTAGAAACATGGCACATTTAATCTTAGTCTCAGGACATTCCCTTCTTTCCTCTGCTCCCCTCTATCTGGATTATGTGAAATAGTGGAAAAAAATAGACCAAGCAGATAACTGAAGTAGGACTCTTCGCTATCAATGTTACCCCTGCCACTATTTTTAAACCACTTATTGTGTCATAGTTTGCCTGGGAAAACAAAGATTGTTTCCCTTTGCATGTGACTGTGCAGTCACATTCCCAGACACGGTTTAAGAAGGTCTGCAGTTTTGTCAGTAGGGGCTGAAATTAGCTTTGAAAGCTCCAGGGTAAGATGGAATATTAGCCTTACCCAAAGAAAACAAACATGGCATGACTGAAGTTATGAACAGCAAAAAGAGGATGCCGTAGGCCTGGCTTGATCCTGGTTCTGACTTTCCCTGTATTTCACTGAGAACGGGTTGCCTTCTTTTCTTATAAAATAAAGCCCTGGATTTTTCAGGGTCACTAAGAACTGCTGAACTGCTGACATGATCAGCACCACTGAGATAATTGCTTAGTAGCTTCAAGAACTTCTAAAGCAAAAAAAAAAAAAAATGTTGGCTATGAAATAATTCTAGGTCTCAGGATTCAACCCTTTGGGGTTAGTTTGCCAGAATTACTTTGGCAGAATTATAGATATATGTGATGGGAACTGTGATTCCGGGGGACTTATATCAGAGATCCTTCCTTGTATCAAGCAGCAGTATTGCAGCATATATGTGAAAAACACTTAGTGTTAATGGGCACATGCTGATGAATAGAGAAGTTTTCATTGCAGTGAAAGCACAGTTTTGTTTCACACAAATGCAATTCATTTACAGAAGATGGAAAAGTGATGTGTGCAGGGAAATGGTCTTTTTAAGTTTCACCTGCTTTTGTTTAGATCCCTTGATGATTTTGTAGCGATTTTAAAAAACTAATTCATTGATCTTTCCTGAAACCCAAAGCAAATTCCATCTGTTGTGCTGACTTCTGAAGGAGCAAGACAATATGATTTACTTCTGAGTAGAAATGTATATTGGCATATCTTCAGCTAGCCTGCCCATGGTCAGTTCCACAAGAATAAGTATCACTGAAGGCAATGTGATTTACTCCTGAGTAGATATGTGTACTACCCATTTTCAGCTTGTTGCTCTTCACTAAACACTTGCATCAATGTGAGAGATTTGTGTTATTCACAGTCACATCTCCACACATGTGCATTAGCGAATGCTATAAAAAAAGGGGAAAAAAAGCCAACTGGATACTTCCTCAGTGGAAGTTCAATGTGGATAAGTGCAAGGTCTTACACTTGGGGCATAGGAATAGGTGTCATAAGTACAGGTTAGGGGACAAGTGGCTGGAGAGCAGCACTTGTGAAAGGGACCTTAGAGTACTGGTTGACTGCAGGCTAAATATGAGTCAGCAGTGTGATGCGGTGGTCAAGAGGGTGAACACCACTCTTGGTTGCATAGCCAAAAGCATGGCTTCTAGATCGAGTGGTATTTCTAACACTCTATACGACCCTGGTATGCCCACCACTGGAGTATTGTGCTCAGTTTTGGGGCCCTCATTGCAGAAAGGATATAGCCAGGTTGGAGTCAGTGCAGCATAGGGCCACAAGGTTGGTGGCCGGTTTGCAGGGGATGGGGTATGAGGCGAGACTGAGGGAACTGGGTCTCTTCAGCCTGGAGAAGAGGAGACTCAGAGGGGATATGTTGGTGACATACAGTTATGTGAGGGGATGTCACACGGAGATGGGTAGAGACCTGTTCTCCCCTGCAGAGAAAGGCAGGACGCACTTCAGCGGAGCAAAGCTCAGGGAGCCAAGGTTCCATTTAGATGCCAGGAAGCACTTCCTTACAGTTAGGACCCCAAGGGTGTGGAATGGGCTTCCACGAGAGGTCGTTGAGGCCATTCAAGGATGGGCTGGACATCCACATGGTGGACATGTCATGAGCAGAGCCGGTTGGAGCCGGGGTCAGACGAGATGGCCTCTTGTGACTCTCTCTGTTTCTATGTTTCAGTGTAATACTACTTGCCGTCAGCCTACACAAGCCACTTCTCATCCACCTGGAACAAGTTTAGCGCACACTGAAATATAAGCCATAAAAAACACAACACATAAAAAGATGCAATGACCTGATTTGAAGAAAACTGGGATATAATGGAGAAAATAGGCTGATTGGGGTGTGTTTCATAGAATATGCGAGTGAGTCAGCCTTAGAAGATTCATAAAAATCCCTCGTGTGAATCCTTCCCACCCCATTGGAAGAGCACCTGACTGTAGAAGGCTGTTGTAGGTAACCCATTTGTAGAAAGTACAAATACTAAAGTCTACATGTTTGTAAAGCATTTGGTTTCCCTCTTAATATCTGACTGTAAAGGTGCCTTTAGAAAGCTGAAACTGCATCACAAGCTTAAATATGTACAGACTTCAGACTGTAAATAGTGTTTCATTCCATAAGGGGCATATTAGATAAATTCTGGTCCAAACTGACCTTAAAATAATTTTTCACCCATCCATGCACAAAGTATATCTGCCCTCTGTCTCTGAGGTAATCTGGCAGGCAAACTATTAAGTTGCCAGCAGCTGCCTGCAAGTTTAGTGTCATGCAAGGCTCTTTCAGTCTGAGCACAGGTGTCACACTAAAACACAAACTATCCCGTAGAACGCAAAGGTACTTTCGGCAGCACTACTGCAGGTTATGTGCTATTCGGTGTACCACTGTGAGAGTTTGCAAAAGGGAAACAGACAGCAACAAGAGCAGCAAATTTATCCCAGTAAAGAACATATTGTCAGTGGCCCATTTTTGAGCATTAATTTTCTTCTGGCATGATCTTTTCAATACTAATGATCACTGTTACTAAAGGTGTTAACACTGAAATATTCATATCTTCTTGTCACCAGCTCCATCATCTTCTAAAGGTTTTAGAACAGATTTATTAACTTGAGCCCTCTCTGTGCTTTGCTTTTACACCCTGCCTTGAGGGTATTTGAGCAAGCTTGCTGTGGGTTTCTTGTCTCGAAGTCTTGGCTTCTGGGCAAGGGGAGGTGTGGTGGGAGAAGGGGCAGTTGTCTCATGGGGTCTTTATATTTAGAAGATTGTATCACTGTGCACGACTTCCATGACAAAGTGGTCTATAAAGTATTTTTAAAAAATAATAAAATAACAGTAGGGTTTGTTCACATGAATATACATTTTGGCTTGTGGCTCTTCTGAATATGCATAAAAGTGTCCAAGTCCCTGAGCATTTTCAAAGGCAATCTAGTAAAAAATAGATAAAAACATTCTGATAATATATATTTCCGGGCACATTCATTATAGCCAAGTGGTCATTGTGGAAAAAGTGGTTTTATGCCTAAAGTCCCTGTTTTTATGCACCCATTTTAACGATCACAATTTCTTGCCCTTTGAAACGTAAGTTTTAAGTATCTAGAAAAGTGCCAAGTGTTCCTTTCATGGCTCTGAAGACATTGTGTCTGCAATCCACTGCTGCACCACAGAAGAATTAGATGGTGCCTGATTAGGTCACCCAACTTTCTCCCCCAATTCGCAGAATCCTAAGGATCACTGATGGGAACTGGTAAACTGACTTTTCTGAAGATCAAGAGAGTTTAGTGCTATTTATGGCATGTGAGCCAGGAAAGCCTCTTGGAAACTTCATGGGTTATTTAGGCAGTAAACCAACTGCTTCCTTTATGCTGCCCATTCTCTTCTTTCTTTTTAAGGCCTTTCTTTTATTCACTCCCCAATACATACTGCTTAATTTCAGTTAACTACTTGCATGCCTATTTTGGCAAACCAATCCTCACAGCACTGCTGGGCTGCTTTTTCACTTAGACTAAGGACTGACCAAAGGAGAACAGGCCAAACCTCATGCCTTATGGGAATTCCAGGTATCAGTCTGAAATTATCTTGTGAAAATAAGGGCAAAGAGCAGTGGCACAGTGAGAGAGCAACTGTTTTGCACCCAGGCGGTCCCAGGTTCATTTCCCAGCTTCTCCTCCAGGTAAGTCTGGGGAAGGGGAAAGGAGCAAACAAACCCCTGCCTAAAACCCTGGAAAGGCTCTACCAGTCCATGCTAACAATACTGGGCAAGGCAGACCAATGATCTGACTGCTTCTGTGGTGGCTTCTGTCCAGGTTAAGGACAATGAGGTGTCTCAAGCTGAGAGTGAGCCAATACACTTGGAACATTTCCATGCAGTCATCTAAAAGGTTAGAGAGAAGTTGACCCAAGCTACCCATTTCCATTCAATTACTGCAGGGAAAAACAAATGGTAACAAAAGGGGAAAGTGTATAAAAGAATACGCACAGAAACTAAAGTTACTTTTCCAGCTCAACTGAGTCATTTAGGTGCACAGCTAAATGAGAAAATAAGGAAAGTCTCACTGAATCATATCCAAGGGCTATCTAGTCCAGTATTATGTTTACATAGCAGCCAATCAGCTGCCTGAAAGAAACTTACAAGTAGGATATGAGTTCAACACCCATGTTCCTCAGCAACTGCTGTGCATAAGTATACTACCGCGGATTCTAGATTTAGCATATAGCAGTCATTAATTAGAAGCTATTGGTAGCTTTCTCCTCCATGAATTTGTCTAACTCCCTTTTAAGCTATCCAAATTGGTGGCCAACACTACACCTAATGGGTGGCATAAAAATGTTTTAATAAATAATAAATAAATAAAATAGAGAATGCCATTGTTTAACTATGAATTTTGTGAAGTATGCCTGTTTATCTGTCTTGAATCTCCCATCCTTCAACTTCATGGGATGACTGTGGGTTCTGGCATATCTAACATATCCCCACTCCCTTTCTCAACATTATGCATAATTTTATACACCTCTAACCAGGGCTTTTTTTGTCATAGAATGCACCGGAACGGTGTTCCGGCACCTTTTTTTGATGGATTTTTCCAACGGATTTTTCCAAGTGATTGTGAATCGCCCTGTTGGGCGTAGTAGGT